GCACAGGGGATTAAGCTCAGCTGCTGTTAGTGACATTGTTATGCTTTTAGTGGAAATCACCACTGCGTGCATCTGTGGACATAGTGCACTCATTATGTGGCCCACCTTGGCCAGCACTTCATCTGTCACTCACTTCCCGTGTCCCTCTTTCTCTAAGAGATCATTATTGGAGTCTGGAGAGAGGGCTCAGTGGTTAAAAAGCAGTGGCTGCTCTTTCAGAGGGCCCAGGTGAAGTTCCAAGCACTGACATGGCCTCTCACAACCATCCATAACTCCAGATCTAGTGGATCTTACACTCCCATCTGTCCTCTGCAGGTACCAGGCACATGTACAGTACACAGACATTCATGCAGGCAAGGCATCCATAAATACAAAAAGGATTTGGGGGCCGGGCGGTGGTGGCGCACGCCTTTAATCCCAGCACTCGGGAGGCAGAGCCAGGCGGATCTCTGTGAGTTCGAGGCCAGCCTGGACTACCAAGTGAGTTCCAGGAAAGGCGCAAAGCTACACAGAGAAACCCTGTCTCGAAAAACCAAAAAAAAAAAAAAAAAAAACCAAAAAGGATTTGGGTTTTTTTTTCTGCAGGGTTATTGTTTTTTGTTTGTTTATGTCCGTTGGTGTTTTTGCCACGGGTGTCAAGTCCCCTGGAACTGGAGTTACAGACAGTTGTGAGCCGCCATGTGGGTGCTAGGAATTGAACTCGGGTCTTCTGGAAAAGCAGTCAGTGTTCTTCACCACCGAGCCATCTCTCCAGCCCCACATAAAAGGTCTTAAAAACCTAGAGAAGACCACTATGTCATTTTAAGTCCTCCAAACAATTGTCAGTGTGGAACTATTATCCAACAGTGGTCAAAAGGCATGGGCCTAGGCCTGGGCCTGGCATTAGTGCACATTTCTCTCATATGAATAACTTTACAAATTGCTTTGGGCAAGAAGTGGGGGCACTGGTAAGCCACCCGGACTGGTGTTTTAGGATCTTTTTCTATAGGGATCCCCAGGTCTTCTCAGTTGAGGGGACTAAATGTATATTAGGCTGAAAACCAGGCAAAGAATTTGACTGTCAGGATTCATGACTCAAGCCTGTCAATCAAGCTATTTGGAAAGCAGCAGCAGGAGAATAGAAAGTTCAGCATCTGCCTGGGTTGCAGTGTAAGTTCAAGGCCAGCTTGAGCAACTCAGTGACGCCACTTCCAAACAAAAATTCAGAGGGATCTGGTTCTATAATTCAGCAGTAGAGCAATTTGCCTGGAACAGAGTAAAGATATTTTGACTGTTAATAGAGACACTACCCTTTAACTTTCTAGTCAGCAATTATTCTTTCTCCAGGAATGATATATAGATTTAATTTAATGTTTCTTCTTACATGTATGTGTTCCACATACATGCCTGGTGCCTGTGAATGTCAGAAGAGGGCTTTGAGTCTCCGGAACTGGAGTTATGGATGTTTGTGAGCCACCATGTTGATTCTGGGAACTGAACTAGGATCCTCTGTAAGAGCATCAAATGTTCTTCACCACTGAGCCATCTCTCCAGCCCCTACTCCATCAATTACATACTTTGATAGCTTCTACTCTGTCTTATCATTAAAAATACTACATTTGGGGGCTCAAAAGATGACTCAGCAGGTGAAGCTGAGAATTCACCCCCAGAACCCACATAAAGGTGGGAGGGCAAAACTGACTCCTGAAAGCTTTCTCTGACCTGCACACGCGCACGCGCGCACACACACACACACACACACACACACACACACACACACACACACACACCTAAAAGCTTTTAAAGTAACATATTTGATGGACCATCTTTACAAATAACAAATCAGGACTCACAGGAGCCACCCATAACAATAATTAATCTCATTTGGCTTCTGATGGCTCAGTGCTATTCTGGGATCCGGACATCTTTATCGCTGCTCCAGAAGCCCGTTCTTCAAAGCTTCTACTTTCCATCCAGCCTACAGACACAACCTGTGAAATCCTGTGCCTCCTGAGCACTAATCACCTTGATAAACAGTCTGTATCCTAAGCCTGGCAAACACCCCTGTCTTATCCAGGAGGCTCACTTTAAGCATGTCTGCATCAATATGTGTGTGTCCCTTCCTCCACAGTCTGCCATGCCAATCTGGCATAACTACGTAGTTTAACTGATACAGATATTGGTGGCTATCAGGGTTCAGTGGACACCCACACAGATGTCCTTCAAATATTTTGAAGAGCTGTGGGATTGAGAGGTCTTACTCTATAATTAAAGTTAGATGTAAATTTGGCCTCAATCTCATGCAATATTCCTGCTTCTGTCTCCCAAATGCTGAAAGATAGGCAATCAGCCACTAGTCTTGGCTTCTCACTTCAACTTTTTAAGGCATATTCAGAGTTATCTAACACCACAGTCTTTCTTAGGGTTGTGTTTTCCTACATGCCTCCAAATCCCAGACACTGCACCAGCTAATGATAACACATCCCTTTCCATCGCCATGCCATTACAGTCCACCACGGGAGACAATCTGCAATCACAGGCTGTATACCCTTTCAAAGCCTCACATACCCCCAGAGGATGGAGTGTTGTTGTTTAGCCAGTAAATTATATAACTCTAGCAGCCCACTCTGAAAAATCTACTTCCAAAGCCCATGGCATTTAGGTTCCTCGATTTTAAGTTGAGCATTCTAGTAGCAGAACTGAAATGGGTGTTCTTATATAGATTTATAAAGGTGCATTCTTAAGAAGTATGAGAGAAGCAGGAGTGGAGAGACGGAGGAAAACAAAGATATGGCCCAACTGAAAAGTGCCTTCAGCCTGCACCCATCAGCAGCTTTGGAACAGAAACTGCACCAGAGTTGGTTCCACCTGAAGCAAGATACTAAGGTATTTGCTTCCCATGCCAGTCAGCCATTGGGTGCAAGCCAATAATGCAGGACTGAACCTCTCGGTCATTATAGTGTCCCTCTGACTGAGGAGCGGTGTCCAAGCACTCAGGGCTTACAGCAGCAGGTGGATGGATACACCAGTCAATCAAAGGGGACTTGGAAGGGCCAAGCATTCCCAGACCCATCCCCTGGGCCATGAGTCAAAGAATAGGGAAATTCACAAAGACTGTTTACAGTCAAACTGCAGTCACAAATATTTTATAAAAAAGCTTGTTGTTCTCGCTGGTGTGAAACATGCTGGTGCATTTAAAACCTCAAAAGCATATGTCAGAAATGGGAGAAGCCAAATGCAATTAGCGAGGCATTCAGCTGAAGGAGTTACAGCAAACAGAGAAACAGAAGGAAATATTAGTGATAAGAACGGAGGACAGTAACTAAACAGAAAACAAGTGGTACCCAAAATAAGAAAAAAAATGTTTTCAAAACTGTATTAGAGCTAAGATATATCTCAGTTGGTAGAGTGCTTGCCTAACAGGCAGGAAGCCTTGGATTTGAACCCCAGCACCGTATAAAGTGGACATGATGGTACAGCCCTCTAACCCCTCAGATAGCATCTGGTACCATGAACCAGGGTTGGCAACATGGGAGTAGAAGCATGTCTTCGAAGAACAGAACACTTGACTTTGAAGAACCAAGATGCCCAGCCAGAAGTTGTGCTTTGAGGTCTGGAGTTCCCAGGGAGAAACCTGGCTAGTAGTCATCAGTTTGGACGTCACAGCACATTAGGGGTTGTTAAGGTACGAATGAGATTGCTCAGGGAGACCTCAAGGACTCAAAGGAAAGGATGAGAAGTTGGCAAATGAGCAGAGAATTAGGAGAACCAGTACAATCCTAACTTTTACCTGTAGCCAAAAGGAGCAACTTGAGGAAATAAATGAGAAGTCTCAGCCAGTAAGGGCAGCCGCTGACCTCTCTCCTGACCTCCAGCGTAATTTTCTTAAATAAAATAAAAATTTAAAGGAACAATGATTGCTAAGCAAGGTAACTTACACTTGTGGTCCCACTGTGGAAGGCTGAGGCAAAAGAATAGTTGTGAATGTGAAACCAACCTGGACTACACAGTAAGTTTCAGGCCACTGAGGACTACAGAGTGAGATCCTGTTTCAAATGAAAACAACAACAATAAAAAGGGGCTGAAGAGACAACTCCACAGTAAGGATCCAGAGTCAGTTCCCAGCACATCAGCTCACAACCACCTGTAACTCCAGCTCCAGGGAATCGGACACCTTCTTCTTGCCACCCCAAGGTACCTGCACACACGTGGCATACACTCAGACACACATACATAAAAACAATTAAGCCCCATAAATAAATAATGAGTGAAACAGTGAACAGTGAAAACGAGAGGTCATTGCCCCATCTAGTTTTAAACTTACTGTTCTGCTTTTTTTTTCTTGCATTTTCATGTCACTTTTCTTACTACCAAACCAATGAATTCGTTAGATCAGCCAGAAGTGCCAGGCATTCCTGCATCATTTGTCTTCTTAATGGAAGATTGAGTTTGACTACAAGCACATTGGAGAGACTGTGTAACAATTTAATAGACTGAAGCCCCATTAGAGGAGGAAAAAAATCCACTCAGAAGCCTGCAAGAGAGCTGTGTGTTTATTCTCATAAACAAGTGTAACATAACAGATGCACGCAGGCCATGTTGCAGTGCTTTGTGGAGGGGCTACTGGTGTCAGCTGGGGGAAGGGTCTGATGTTGACTAACCGTGTCTGCAAAGCAGCCTGCCTCTAGTAGCTTAGACACCTGCTTCCCGGCTGGGGCTTGCTGTTCTGATCCAGTGCAATGACCAAGGTGAACTAATGTGTCCAAGAGGTGCTTAAGTATATGCTCCGTGGTCACAGTGTCCAAATCATGGAGATTTTGTGCTTAACTGTCTGTTTCTTAATCATGGAGGGGGAAATAAAACTATATAAAAGGAAGCAGTGAACAATCCCACAAACTGAATTTAAATGAAACTCTTTGTAAAATTATACATTTATTTCTGTGGTTGTCTGTATACAAAATACATGTCATGAGTATCACAAAACCTCTGGGCTTGTGCATCTCTAAATAGATTTCATAAAATAAAGAAATAACGATTTTAATAGATCTGAATTTTTATCAAATAAACATGCATATGAAGTTTAAAAAAATAACATGATGCAGCTTAATGTCTATGCTATATACAAACAGAAGTATCCTCTAATGAGCTGAATGCCTACATAAGTTTGTGTACATATTGTGTTCCTGGAAAATACTACAAAAGTGATCCACACATGAAATATTAACAACATAATATCATATGGGAATGCTAAACATGCATGTTAACGACATAAAACACCCATCTACTCAGAGGACAGGCAGGGTACACAAGCATTTTAGAATGTGCTCTGATACAGAAAAGAAAGGTACATCTCATAATTCGATCAAAACACGTACTTTTCCTGACATAAAGACATTTGAAATATAATAAAAGCTACAGAAATGATGAGCTTAACTTTATCTCTGCATAGAGCATTAAAAGCCGCCCATTACTATGTGCGTGTTAGCAATTTCCGATGCAAGGAAAGCCCAAACGCAACAGGGCCTCCCCCAGTCTTCTAAGCTGGTCACGGCCACTCCCAGTTTTTGACAAAAACTGAACCAGTCCATTGAACAATGCACTTCAAGCTGATAAACCTGCACAGAATTCATTTGGTCCCAATCACAGAGCATAGCCAGGCAGCCATTGGCTTAGATGACCAGAGCCCACTAGTCCCCGCTGGTTTTTATAAGTGCTTTTTTGTTATTATTTTTAATTCTTTCCTAATTCCAGATCTTCTACCAGCATTATGACTCTTCAAAAACAATAATTTATTTCCTCCTCAACATACATGGACATTCTTTCATTCCCTACCTGTCTTTCATATTTGATGGGGTAAAATACACAATGCAAAAGCCAGACTTATCTGTGTACTAGGGTATTTTTCAAAAGCAAAGCCTTATGATGTTTATGAATGTGGCATTCAGTAACAAGAAAGTCCAGGGGTCTCCAGTCAGAAAAACAGACTAACCTTCAGAAACTGGTTCCACCCCTGGGTGACACTGTATTACAGTCACACTATGTTGTATCTGGTTTCTGGACACAAGGAAGAGTCCTGGATTTTCTCCCTGCCCACAAAATAGTATAGATGCTACTTTATGATGCTGCACAAACTGTAGTCTGCCATCAATTCAGGCAACAAAATAGATACCTCTCATTTTAAATTGTGACTAAAACTAATTTTAGCATCTCTTCCTTTTTTGTTTTAGGCAGATCGCTTAGAGCTCAGCCTGGCCTGGAACTCGCTATGTAGCTGAGAATGACCTAGAACTTCTGATCCCTCTGCCTCTACCTCTAGAGCACTGGGATAACAGGCATGTGCCACCATGCCTAGTTTAAATGATGCTGGTAACTTTCTTATTTGGGAAGAATAGTATATCTCTTGGTCTCAGTAAAGCAATATTAAAACACCATGATAACAGTGGCCTCTCTGTGTTTGCTCTCACACTGCTAGCATGGTTTCTCTCCACGTGAAAGCCTTGCTAAAACGACCATCAGTGAGGAGGCCCTTCCTAATGTCTGAAAGTGCATGGCGGCACCAGCCGAAGTACTGATATGCAGCATCTACATTATGCTTTCTGTTTTGTTCTGATTGGCACCAGTTCAGATGAGGCGCTTTCTACTCAGTGATTCATTTACCTTTTCACTTTGCTTTGCTACTTTAACAACAACAATAAGAGTGCAGAATTGATTCTTTAGAAGACATGACTAACATGCTGAATGTACCTTCTGGTAATGTGATGAATATACCTTCTGATTTTTCTGCAGTGGCAAGTTTAGCTTAAGCAGGTAGGTAGGTGGGTTGGTTGATTGGTGGGTTTTTGAGACAGGGTTTCAAGTTGCAAAGGTTAGCCCCAAACACACTTTGTAGCCAAGGATGACTTTTAACTCTTGATTCTCCGTCCCGCTCAAGTTGTGAGATTACAGGTGTGAGCCTCTTGTGCCCAACTGCAGCCTCAGCTTTAAGCTCATTGATCTTCTCTAAACTAGTGAAATTCAACCTCTGTGTATAAGGCAGGGTGTTCTAAAGAAAACAATGTATTTACATTTATTTATTCAGCTGTTGGGGGCGGGGAGCTTTGTGTATGTGCACGCCAGTGTAGGGCATCAGGTTTGGTAGCAAGCACCTTAGCTGCTAAGCCATTTCTCCAGCCTTCTAGAGAAAACTGTGAGGTTTCTGGGTTTTGAGCCCTACCCTAGGATAGACAGCATAAAACTTATCAGTGTCACTTCACAGCTACACGCCCACAGAGATATGTGACTGATTCTAAGCCATATGTATGATGTGGTATGTCTTTAGACACCATAGCAAGAATTAACCCTTTCAGAATAAAACTGGAGACATAACCATGTCATGCTCTTCCCATGAGTCTGGCATTCTGACATTAAAACATAAAATACAAGAAAAACATCCTAAATAACATGTCTCCTCAAGACCCCAGGAGAACATAGAGAGTAGGAGGCTGCCCTGTAGTGACAGTAGCAGGAAGTTGATGGGCATGCAACAGTGATTTCAACAGATGCCAAGCATGTAACAGACCCCTCACCTGAAGGTGATGTCAAAGTCACTTCCAGTCAAGTGCAAAACTCCCAATGTTCCAATTCCACCAGCAAACCAGTGATCATAAATGTCTTTAAAATTGAAATATGGCTAAGGCAGCAATGATATAAAATTAAAACTAAGAAATTGCAAATAATTGACACCTCAAAGCAATACACTGGATATATGTCCAAATGCCCTCTCTATAAACAATGCATGACCCTTTACCAAGACCTCATTCATATGCTCTATATATGCTTCCCAAATCTGTCAGTAAGTCTCACTTACTTGTGGTCCTAACCTATCATAGGTACCCAATTTCCGTAGAGGAGACTGCCACTTTTGAGAGGTGAACGGACCTGCAACTTTTGTTAAGGTCACCTTTAGAGTTATGCCTACAGTTTTAATTCTCAATAGATAATTGATTCCATGTTTTGTTAGACAACATATAGAGATGATTTTGATTTGAGTCACATGTTTGAGTCCCAGGTATTAAAATACATGCACAGGAGAAGATGATGTCCTCATTTATTTCAACATTTTGTGGCCATTATTATGCCTGTAACCTTCTTGAAATGTTCTTAAAAGCTCAGTTTATTTCTCATGCAAAATGTCAGTGTTGTGCCTCATTAAGGCAGCTGTCAAGAGGGACCCTGGAGTCTAAGAATCGCAGTGAAATGGAGAAAAGGCGGGAACAAAGAGTGATGCTCCATTAAGGAGAAATGCCCATCACTGCCAGAAAGAGAATCAGTTTGAGAGTTAGTTTAAATTTCTTATATTCAATTTTTATAAAATATTTGAATCATCAACCCCAGACCCCAGTATTTCACATCAGAAGACCAGCTTCTCTGTTTCCCTAGCAGGCAAGATGGTTGCTGGCAGTCCATGTGTTTCATACTGTCAGATTTGGAAAAGTAAGCTTGTACAGAGAAAGCACAACCCAGGTTGTGTCCCAGTTAAAATCATCCTCCCAGATTCCCAGGCCTTGTGTCATGATGTCTCTCAAATACTGTGACATCATAAGCTCTGTTCATATTTTCTATTCACGGAAAAATCAAAATAGCTATGGAGGGAAAATGTATCTATTTTCTATATCACTTTAGTATATATAACTTGAAACTATTTTGATCCCAGATGGTTGGTTGTGAAATCTGGAGAGGAAAATAATCTTTTAGACTTACAATCGTAATGGATCTTACAAAAGCACTAGAAGTTAAAATTTTCCAGTTTAAATTTTCCATATGAGTAAAAACATATTCTTTAAAATGAGAAATACATAATATTTCTATATTTAGGGAAGAGGCGCATCATCTCTACTATGATCATCAAACTAATGCAATTATTTTTTTCTTCATCTATACCTCACAAGGTAAAGGCACATTACTTTAGTCCATCCACAAACTGAAATCAGGAGCTATGGAAAATTTTTAAGTTTTTCTCACCAATTTCCATCAGATGGAATCTAAATTTATAGAAAAGAATCTGCTTGAAAGGCTAAAAAAAAGGCTAAAAATCTGCTTGAAAGTTTAATAAGTGAGGAGATTGGATGGATGGATGGATGGATGGATGGATGGATGGATGGATGGATGAATGGGTGGATGGGTGGATGTGTGGATGGGTGGATGTGTGGATGGGTGGATGGGTGGATGGGTGGATGGATGGATGGGTGGATGGATGGATGGATGGATGGGTGGATGGGTGGATGGGTGGATGGGTGGATGGGTGGATGGGTGGATGGGTGGATGGATGGATGGGTGGGTGGATGGATGGGTGGATGGATGGATGGGTGGATGGATGGATGGATGGAAGCACAGATGGATGGACAGACATGATATCCCTATGTAACCATGGCATCCTGACAGAAGCACAGCAGGAAGTGAAGGAATTGGGTGTCCGAAATCTACTTGTTGCTTCCTATTCTATTCCCTTGTGTTTAGTAAAATGTTCTCTTTTTTTAATCCTGGAAAGAATTCAATCTCAATCAATATTGGGTTTCCAGCAGCATATAGGAGGCAGAAAGTTTGTTCCTGGTACAGACAGACTAGACCAGTGAAAATCACAGGATTTCCGTATCGCACTCTCTGGTTCTTGCCTGAGAGTGTGCCTTAGCAGACACACCTGATGTGAATCACCAGTGCCCTAGAGAAGCATTTCCTCCCTCCAGAGTCACCTTGGGCTGTGTTTGGACTTTGACCAAGGTGGACCTTGGCTGGAGGAAGAAAGGAATGTCAACAGCTTCAGAGTGTTTGGATCTATTGCCATCTCCAAATTATCTCTGAAACTAAATTGCAATTGGTTCAATCAACAGTTTATTGCTTTAAGAACATAATACATATTTTTCTATTACCAATTCTTTAAAAGTCTATATGTTCCTAGATAAATGCTTTAGAACAAGCTGCCAATACTCTTGCTTCCAAGTCTATAATAAAGTATCTAATGGGAGCTAGCCCATGTCTTTCTCCTTTACAAATGCAGGTTGTCAACTATCTTAAGGTACATATCCCCTCTGTCTCTCTTATTTGATTCTTCTAAAAGAATTTTTTAAACATCTGTCATAAACATAAGTCATTCTGCTTTGAGCTACAAATTACCTAACCTTCCATTTAGCCTCTATTTTTAAAATCCAGCAGGTAGTGTCCCACCATATTAACACATTCTGCCTAACAGAGATGCTGTGTTCATTACTCAAGTATTACATCCCTGCATGCTCTTACATCCCATCTAGTTCCTGCTTTAAAAACATCTATGCCACAGCAGAAGAGTCCTTGTTTTGTTCATTCTCTACGTTTTCTTGAGGACTGGTGACTGTCACTTCTGGTCTTGGTGGTCTTTGAGCATCTAAGTCAGCCTGGAAGGAACAATAGAGCAAAACAAAGATGATTACCTCTTTGTTTTATGAGGATAATAAAGTTCACTTAAATGTCCCATTCAACCACGTAAGTACTCCACTACAAACCATCCCTTGGCCCCTTGTTTTTAGTCAGTCATTTCCCCCAGCTTGCTATTTCAGCCCTTTATTTGGACTGACACCTCATGTGACCAATATGTGCTTTACAATCAGGGTGTGGCAGCACATGTCCGTAATCCCAGCACTTTAGAGGCAGAGGCAGAAGATCAGGAGTTCGAGGCCACCCTCAACTGCATAGTAGGTTTGAGGCAGCCTGTCTAGATGAGATGAAAGCAGAGTGTCATCTCTTATGTTACAGGGTTACAAAGGTTTCTCTCTTTCTCTGAGTCTCTTTCAGTTTTTCTGTTTAAAGGTAGATTACACTTTTCGGTTAAGTATTTCCAAAGTGAGGGAAGAAACAGCATCTCAGCTTCACCTCCATGTCTCACTAACCCACTGAGCTCCCTACGATCCTCTTCCACCAGAATCTGCAGATTCATAGCACGATGCCAAGTGCCAGAGAGTACCAGTGTCTAGTAGGTAAGAGCAGGGTATAAAACCAAAGCATAGAGGCAGCTTTTCCCCAGGAAGAGCCATTGTCCCTTGCACATCTCCTGTTATCAATGACAGTTATCTCATTTATAATTCATCTACCCATTAGGCTGCTGCTAAGGTGTGAGAGGAGAAACAGCCAGTTTTCAAGCTATAGCCCATGAAATTCTGGACGCTTCACAGCCTCACAAGGGCCCCCAGTCTCTGGGACAAGAACAGCTCCAGATCACTAACCCCCACAGGCATGATTTATGCTAAAAAAGAGAGAAGAAATACATATGTGCATGTGCATACATATGTATGTATGTGTGTATGATGAATGTATATATGTATATATGCATGTGAACACGCAAGTATATATGTGTGCATGTACATATATGTGCAGAAATGCATGTGTATATATATACACATGTAAGTATACATGCATGTTTATATGTATGAGTGCATGTGTATATCTAGATATGTGTATATATGTGTGTGCATGTATGTATATGTGCATGTATACAGATATGTGTGTATATGTAAAATGCTTATATGTATCTCTGAAAGCATATATGTCAGTGAATATGTATATATGAATATATGCCTGTATATGCTTATATGTGTATATATGCATGTATATATATTTAGGTATGTACCTATATATGTTTATGTATGTATGTTTCCAGGTCTGCATTTTATTTCACATATCTTCCTTGTGAAGTATCTCAAATGTTATCATAATACAGTATCAATTCATAGTCTCAGTAGATAGCAATTGCTATTGTGAATTTGTCCTCTATTTCCTGCTGTTCCATACAGTGCCAGTTGCTACTGTGTATTTGTTGTCTGTTTCTTGCTATTTTTATTTGTCACATTGCACAAGAACTGGTACATATGATAAAAGTCCATTGTTAACCTCTAATCTACAGTACATGCAAGTTTAGATGTTCATACACTTGGTACACTTGGAGTAGGTGTATATTAATGTGTGAGGGCAAACAAAGATAACATACATAATCATTGAAAGAGAGGAGACAATCATGTAAGCCTCCATCTCCTTGTGAGTACCTGCTCCATCTTGGACATTTGATTGGTCCTTAAAGTCTCCAGTGAGCCACTTACCTGAGCACCCAAGAATTGGGCTTACTAGTGACATTATATACCACAGACACTCATGTTTCAGGCCCTTGCCAAGTTATATAACTCTACACTTAAGTGGTACCCAATTCCTATCAAAAGCCTATTTTTTTACTTTAGTCTTTAAATGGATTTATTTTAATTGAAAAATACAGTTATGACATAATATATAATGTCCTAAAGTACATGTGCATTGTGGAATGGCTAACTTGAACTCATTAACATCTGCATTACCTCACAGTTTCCTTCTCTATCTGTAAGAATAGGAACACTCCTCTAGTATAAGAACACGTTGTTAGGATAGTCACTATGCCGGACAACACAGCTCCAGAACTTATTCTTCAGAATGGAAATGTTCTGTTCTTTGGCCAACACCTCCCCAGACCCAGCCCTCAGTCCCAGGTAACCTTCATTCTACTCTCTGCTTCTATAAATTCAGCTTTTTATATGCCGGAGCTCACACAGTATTTGTGTCGGGTTTGTTTCACATAACATAATGCCCTCTGATCTTATTCATGTTGTTGCAAATTACAGGAAGATTTTACAAACCACGCATTTTGTGAAGTCTAACTAGGTCACACACTGAATTAAGCTAGACCACCAGAAGACTGCACACCAGGATCTTCCTACCACCGGAAGACTGCACACCAGGATCTTCCTACTGAGCCCCATGTAGAATTGCACTTTGATTTCATGTTGTAAGCTTTCATCAAAAGCTACATCAGCAGAGCGCTTTGTGAAAACCACTATTGTTGCTACATACACAGCCAGGAGGACTATGCTGAGCTCCGTATGAGGAATTGTGTTCTGTGTGTCTTACACAGCCACACTGTGAAAATCTTACCTTGCATAAAGATGAAATGTGAGATACACCAAGTGTTTTCCTTTACATGTTACAGATGCTTTATAGAAATGCATAGTGGAATACAGGTAGATTGGGACTGACTGTTGAAGCTTGGCCATGAGAACACTTTGCACTACTCTGCTGTTAAACTTTCTTGTGCTTTGCTGCAGTGAAACAAACCAGTACTCGGTATGCTGAATGTTTGACTAATCTATTTAACGTGGGCTAAACAACTAGACTTTAATTTATCTAAAGAACAAAGAAGTCCTGTTAGTGGCCATGATGTTCTTTAAATGGGTTCAATGTCTCACTGAGCTCGATACCATTTTCTAGCTTGTTCTTCCCTGGTCTTAGCCTGGTGAGTGGATGAGTGGTGGGTGGGTGGGCGAGTGAATAGCTAGACTGATGGATGGGTAGGTGGGTGAGTGGATAGGTAAGTGGGAAGATGGATGAGAACATGAAACAAATGTACGTGGCAGTACTTGTTAATTGATTGAAATAAGTAGAAAAATGAAATTAAATGGAGCTCAGTGTTTCTTACTCTACCGGTAGTAAAGAGTTTTCCTGCAGAATCTAAGTGTTTAGCTAATTTCCTAAGCATGTTCATGTGCGTGCAAACACGTGCCCACACAGATTTATGCACAAGCAAGCCAAAATAATACAAGTACCTCATCTTGTCCACTGCTGTCTCCTTCAGTCTTTCCTTCCTCATCCACTGCTGGTTGAAGCTCCTCAGTAACCTGGTCCACTTCCTCACCATTCTCTTCATCAGTGACACCGTTTACCCGAGAGGAACTTGCCTTCTCTTCTCCATGCTCTGGGATTTCCTCCTCTCGCTTAGGGCCATCAGCAGCTTCCCTACCCTCTCCATCTTCAGCGTCACCATTCATCGCTGAGAAGTCTTCTTTCTGCTTGACATCTTTGTTTGTTTTCTCACCGTCTTCTTCCTCATCAACTATTTCTGCTGGCCTCTTATGGAAGAAAAGAAACAATGGGTAAAAGAAGTGTGACAGGGCCCCTCCACTGCACACTACAGAACTACGCTCAAACATGTATACTACTAACGACGCCCAATCCTATCAAAAGCCTACTCTCCTACTTCAAGTTGGCTATATGATATTAAATGGGCAGTTAAAAATGAAGAAAAATGCAGTGTTCTTTAGGGACTGTAAAAACTATAGCATGTGTCATCATACAGATTCAATAGCAAGGCTCAGGTCAAACACCAACACTCAGTATGAACTACCTTGAGTGTTCTGCCCAGGAGGAAACCCACAGGAGGCAAATGCCAGGCAGGAAGTGAAACTGGGAAGTATGTGGACTCAGTAACTGAGGAGGAGCAGAACTCCAGTCTCCATAGAGACCTAGCAGCTGCCATTTTCTCATCACACCCTCTGCTCACCTTTCTCCAAAGACAACCAACAGAGTAAGCCACTGAGACACACACCTTTGAGGCCAGGAGAAGGCAACGTTGTCATCAAAACACAACAGAGACCCAGATGTGGTGGCACAGATCTATAATCCCAGAACTCGGGAAGCAGAGGCATGAGGGTGGCGCAGATCTATAACCCCAGCACTCGGGAAGTAGAGGCATGTGGATCACTAAAAGTTCCTATAATCCCAGCACTCAGGAAGTAGAGGCATGAGGATAGCTAAAAGTTCCAGTCCAGCCTGACCTACATGACAAGTTCCAGGCCATCCAGGGCTACATAGCAAGATCTGACTCAGAAAACATAAACAAAACAGAGAAAGATACATTACATGTGAAAACGATTGTTTCTATATGTTAACAATAATCTGAAGAGGAAATTACTAAAACAATTCCATATATAGAAGCATTAAAAGAATAAAATACTTACAAATAAAATAAATCAAAGAGATGGAAAACTTGTACATGATGAAAAACATAATGAAAGTTAGAAACAGGGCTCAAAGACACTAAAGATCATAAGTGTGTTCCACACTCACAGTTTAGAACACAGGCTCAAGACAGCAATGTTGTTGGTTGCTTTTTTTACTTTTTTGACTCTTTGTTCTTTTGGGGGGGCCACCACCCAGTTACCAAGTAAGTATACACAGAGGCTTATTCCTACTTATGAATGTCCGGTCTTAGCTTGGCTTATTTCTAGACAGCTTTTCTTAACTTAAATTATCCCATCTATCTTTTGCCTCTGGGCTTTTACCTTGCCCTATTTCTGCATATCTTTTCTTTCCTTCTCAGTCCAAGTCTGGCTGGGTGGCTGGGTGGCTGGCCTTGGCATCCTCCTCTCTTCCTTTTCTCATTCTTTGACCCTCTCCTCCCAGATTTCTCCTCCTATTTATTCTCTCTGCCTGCCAGCCCCACCTATCCTTTCTCCTGCCTTGCTATTGGCCATTCAGCTCTTTATTAGACCAACCAGGTGGTTTAGACAGGCAAAGTAACACAGCTGCACAGAGTTAAACAAATGCAACATAAAAGAATGTAACACATCTTTGCATCATTAAAAACAAATGTACCACAGCATAAGCAAATGTAACACATCTTAAAATAACATTCTACAATACAGCAATGCCTCCCAACAGAATCTACAGGGTCAGAGAGTTCTCACTAGGGCAAAAGCCAACACAGAAGTCCCACATGGTACATTTCTTGTCGCCATCATATGAGTGAGAAAAATACTGACCAATTCAGTGCCCACAATACCATGTAGCAAAAGACCAAGCTGGGTGAGGGGTGAGCCCAGAAAGTCTGGCCCAAAGTCCTGATATCCTACCTTAAGCAAATATCACAAAATGAGGCTGTATCCCTCACTTTAATGCCACCAGGAAGACACTCATGTGTGCTTTTAGTGGCCAAGGAAAGTGACATCTGCACCATGCCTCACTGACTGCACTGTTTAAAGAATTGGCAACCTGAAAACCAAACATTTCTGTGCCTTTTCTAGAGTCCCCTGGCATGATCCAGGGGTGGACATTGTAAGAACTGTTGGGCAGAGTTTTGTAAGAAGTATTAGGCAGGAACACTACAGTGCTCACAACTGAAAAGAGCTGGATCTTGCAGATTTTCTCAGGCAATGGAGTAATTGCACATCAGTGGCTTAGAAGCTATTTGAGTGCACTGCTTGTGAGATTGCTTTGGCTGGAACATCTTACTATTTTTTAAAGCCTTACTGCATCAACAACCTAACCTCCTAAGGTCAAAGACAGCTCTCTATCACTTCTTCCCTATGGGCAACTTCCCGGCCTTGGGGCTTCAGAACAATCCCCCCCTTACATGGGGAGGGGAGTGTCTAGATAATATATTCATAAAAATAAAGAAAAAGCTCATAACTTAATTGTTTAGGGATGTAAATACAGTCTTCTCTTTTCTGAGTGATTGTTAAAGTCTATTAAGATGGTTACAAGTAAGTGGAAAAATCTATTTTCCTGATATCTGGATTTATAACTAATTGTAAATGAGAACATGTTTCCTTGTTTTTAGATTTTATATTCTCATTTAGTCTTAACCTCTTTCTTTGACCAATTCTCAAGCTTTCAATTTTTCCTCTTTACAGTGGGCTGGTGTGTTCCCTAATCTCTTAGCATCTAGTTCCAAATTCCACTCTGGTTCACTGCCATTATCACCATCACTAGCCATCAGCATTATGCTCTCATCTCATTATTTCAATTAGACTTCCCCAGCATGGCTACTTAGTAGTCATCAAATAAAGCCACAGCTGCCAAGCACAACTTAAAAAGACACAGGATTTTGATACTGAAATAGCAATTTGATCAATTTAAATAAGATGGTAACATTAGTTAAAAGGTTTATAATCCTTTAAAATACCCCAAGTCTGGAATAAAACTTACTATTACCATGGCTCTACCATTCAGGGAAACACACACACACACACACACACACACACACACACACACACACACACATCAAACCTCTGCTGTGACAGATCTGTAATGAATAAGTGAAAAGCAATGTGCTTTTTTTTGGTGTAAACGCCTTTGAAGCAGACATTAAATTATTAAAGATGTTTCTAGTGTATACATCAATCAAACCATCCCAGAAGGAACACTCAGCTTTACACACACACATACACACACACACACACACACACACACACACACACACACACACACATACACACACGAGAGAGAGAGAGAGAGAGAGAGAGAGAGAGAGAGAGAGAGAGAGAGAGAGAGAGAGAGAAGGGAGAGAGAGAGAGAGAGAGAATCTAAACGATGGTAAGGTCCTGTAAAGAAAGATGCTCTCCCCCTACATGAGGGTGGATAACCAGGAGTACAGGGCTTGCACTAATGTATGAATGAAACCATTTCCTAAGGGTTCACAGAGTTATGTATGTTTTCTTTCACATATAGAGACAAAGCAACGTTCAGATTAAGACATTTGGACCAGTGAGGTTGCTCAGTCGATAAAGGTGCCTGAGGACTTAAGTTCTATCCCAGAATCCATATGGTAGAAGGAGAAAATTGACTCCCAAAAGCAGTTTTCTGATCTCTACACATGTACGGTGGCACACACTTGTGCATGCACACACATAAAAATAAAATTTTAAATGTAATTAAAAAAAGAGATTAAGCCACTTAGTGGTTTTTCTTCCTGTGAGTTTATACAGCTAAAATGCAAGCTGGCATGTGATTAAGGCCCCCTGGGAATGGTTACGCACAATTTTCAAAGCTCATCAGTCTCCCTCCCAGAAACAGTGGTTATTCCTTGCTTTCACTATCGGGGCATACATTTTTGGCAACAAAGTTACTATCAGAAAACATATTTGTTTCCCCACTGCTGTCCACTTCCTAAAGTCGTGGAGATGGGCTGGCAGGAAACAAGCGCAAAGACAACTTCTCAGAATAACAGGGCCTCAGGTGACACAGTTCCCCACCTTGGCGAGGCCAGTGAGGCACAGCCCCAGGCAGCGCTCTTGTATTTCACTTCCCAACATGCAAGCACGTTTATCCCTGAGGTAGAGAATGAGACAGAAGGGAAGTGTCCTGGCTCGCTGGGATCAGCAACCGGCAATGCCTTTCAACATCCTAAAAGATAAAGAGATGCAAGTTCCCTCTGAAGGACAGAGCTAGCGCTCATGTCTCTGCTTCTGCCCTGCTTCTCTTCACTGATCATGCTTTGTATAGAAGCAGCCATTAAAACCTAACTCCAACTCCTCACACTTAGCACTGTGATCTTTTGAGGAGCATGAAGTCAGAGATAGACCCCATTTTCTCACAGTTTCAGACTAAGCTGTTTTGCTGGCCTCCCTCAGCAATTCCTAAACTGATGTCAGCCCCCAAACCTCAGCAGATGACTATACTGGGGACGGTTTCTAAAGAGGTGACTAAGTCAAAGCCATGTCATTGGTGGTCCTGAGCTCTGTGTGAGTGTCCTGAGCTCTGTGTGAGTGGTGTCCTTAAAGAAAGAGGGTAATTGCAGAGACTGAGGTAAGTCCACATGAGGACCCCAGGGTGACAGCCATATGGCAAGCCCAGGAGAGAGGCCTCAGGACAACAAAATCACCAACATCCTAATCTCAGACTTGCAGCCTCCCAAACCAGGGGAGAAGAGGACAGTAGATTCCTGCAGCTCAAGTCACTCAGCTTGTAGTTCTTTGTCATAGCAGACTTTGTACACTCATCCACTACCCTAGTACTCCTTTCCCTGCGCATGAGCGTGCACACACACACACACACACACACACACACACACACACACACACAGATCCTTGAACATATAATATAATGTGGCAGGGAAGAGAAATTGAATGCAGTCTCTCCCAGACTGAAATTTGGTGTGAGGAAAATCCTCTGAGAATTCTTTCTGAGGAAGAAATAAACAAAAATACCCTTAGCCCACTCCCCTGTGCAGCCAGTATCCAAGCTGCTCCTATGTCTGTGCATGGAGAGTGCATCTTTTCCCATAATTAGCACCACCTACTCCATGAAGTCTCCTGGCTCCTTCAGGTGGAATCACTCGCTGCTAGGCACC